TTACTTTCCTTTTTAGTTTTATTTTAGGATTCCCTATTTTTAATGTTCATACAGAGATTTCTTTAACTGAAATACCGAATAGTTTCTGTGGTATGAAAAACTATAATAGTACACAGGATCCTAATGAGATAATTAATAATGTGAAATAGGAAGTAAAGGGCTAAAGGTGTAAGGAAAGTGGGAAGGGTGGGGGAAAGGTAATAAGGGAGAGGAAAAAAATATGAGAAACTGAAAAAATGGAAATAAAGTGTTTGTAAATGGGGAGGGGAGGAGGGGGTGAAGGGAGGGCAGGGACAAGGGGAAAAATGAGAATCAAGATCTATTATGTAAAGGTACAGAATCCCAATGAGGAATGTAATTGTATTGTATACCTAGATTGTACCAATAACCTCAATAAAAAAAAGAAAAAAAAAGCTACTCATCTTTGTCTGTCTTTTTCAAATACAGTGGTCCCTCAGTTCATAAACTTAATTTGTTCCATGATTCTGGAAAAGATGGCCACAGGCATGTTTGTCATCTGATAGAGTTTGCAAAGAACAACAAAATTTTGCCACATGCTTCAAAAAGTATTCACGAACCAAGGTACCACTGTAGTTCTTCCACGTCAAAGTACATTTGATCCTTTTTGTGTAAATGATCAAGATAAAACTTTCTTTTAACAAATATTCTGAAACAATGAGAACACATGGATACTTTTGCCTAAAAATAGTTCTTTGGAGTACCTTCCCTGTTTTAAGTGTAGTTTTTGGTCTTTTCCTTAATATTCAGCAAAAATTAATACAGCTTTTTAGTTAGTATTTCTTTGCATGATTTAGTCATTTGTAAGAGACTCTTTCTATTCTCTTCCTATGATAGAAACTTGTATTTTTTTAATTGTACAAATTTTAATTCAACAAATATTTATTGGACAGTTGCCATTGGGCTGGGCCTTTTCTAGACTCTGGAACACAAGAGTGGAAGCAGACAAATCTTCTCTATGTAAGCCCTACCTTCTGGTAGGGGCAGGCATATAATGCACAGTGGGTGGAAAATATAAAGCAGAGAAGGAGGGATGACTGCTGTGGGAGGTATTGTAATTTCAAATAAGGTAGTAAGTGAAGACCTTGTTGAGATGACATTTGAGCAAAGACCTGAAGCGGTAAGTAGGCTGTGCAGTTTTCTGGAGGACCAGCATCCTGGAGAGAGGGAGCAACAAATACAAAGGCTGATTCTGCCAGCTGGAAACTGAAGGGGAGGGACATATTACAGAAATAGCAAAAGAAACTAAAATTCTTCTAAATGATTTGTATAATCGTTAACCATATTTTAAAATAAGAGACTTATTGGTAACAAATTTGGACATATGAACACTATTGAAGAAAATTTGTTTCATTTGTTTTCTCTAAATTACCTCACTGTAACACTGGCCTCTTGTACACTATCATTAGACCATTAAAAAATACCACATCAGGGCCGGGATTTAGCTCAGCGGTTTGGTGGCCTGCCTCACAAGCGCAAGGACCTGAGTTTGATCCCCAGTACCAAAAACAAACAAACAAACAAAAATACCACATCAGTCCAGGGATTTAGCTCCACCACCTGCCTTGCAAGCGCAAGGACCTGAGTTTGATCCCTGGCACCAAAAATAAATAAATGAAT